CTGACGATGACCAGTTAGGTCGAAATCGATAGCCGCAACAGACAAATAAAAAACGTGTTAAAAAGATTTTCTTTAAACCCCTTCCTAATTAATAGAAATCGAATTAAATACAGAAAATTCACGCCCCGTCCCCTAGATCAAATAAGTAAATTCAGAAACTCCTTAGTAACGAAGCGCCAAACTTAAAACGGTTCTCGATACCAGGTGTTCAGCAAAGCTATCGAGTTTACAAATATACGGTGTGCGCACAACTTCGGGTATGAAACTATAGGGCGGAAAACGGGTGCATCGTTACACACTCCCCTTTCTTCGAAAAGAAAATGGCGCAACTCTTTTCGGCAAGCTATCCTAAAACAAACAACACTCCGGGGCGGGAAAACTGGACAGGATACGGTTGTCAAATTTATACCTGCTACCTTACGGTCGATAGGGTTTCAGATTCTTTACGTGGGCTCTTGGAATATTCGTTCGCTCGGACGGAAGTTTAAGCGTGAACACTACCGGTGACTCAACTTTGTAAACCGCGTATGGGTCGGAATTAGGGAATGCAATCCCGCAACAAAATCTCAATTCCGGTATTTGCGGGATCGTTAGATGTTAATCCCGCGGGATCCCGCAAAATTTTAAATTCTTCTGTATTAAAATAAATCGGTAATTATCACAATATTCAACAAAAAAGTACCTTCAGCCTAACTTAAAACCCAAAAAAACCTCACCTGTAAAGCACAAAAAGTAAACTTCTAAAGTGCCTCAAAAATCATAGTAGGTACATTTTTTACGAAAAAAGTTTAACAATTATCTCCGTTGCTCAGTCCCGCAAATCCCACGGGATCCCGCTCCATTTATGTACGGGATTAATCCCGCAAAAATGCTGCGGGATCCCGGTATTTCGGGTCGATGCTAGAGATATAGAGTAGAGGGTTTGACGAAGGCGGTCCAAAATGCTATTTATGATCGGTAACGGATAGGCCATCTTTCGCATCATGATAATCGGCGAACTCCATGGACACGCGATTCTTATAGTTTTTCGGCCAGCATTCGATCTACCTCCTCATTGATTACAGCTTGCGTTCGCGGATTTTGGGAACGGTATCGCTGCTTAATCGGTGTAGGACATCGGAGTTTAATGTCATGATTAACTAAGTCGGTGCATACATTGAGAGTTTCGAATGTTGTAATTCGGTTTGAAGAAATTCTTCTAATTCGATTTCTTCGACGGCGGTTAGCGGTGTGATAACACAAGGTTTGCATCGTTGAGAAACTGAAACAAGGGTACGGCCAAGGAATAAATTACCGGTTTCCATGTTGAAATGGAAATGGTTCGGAAACAAAAACCTATTCCAGGGAGCACTTCATAACCAATACCCGAGACATGATGGACTAAATGGAAAATTTCGGTTTTCAGGATCATGGTCGGAGCAATATAATCGCTATGGATATTTACGGGTTGGTTGGTAAAGCTCCTGGCTTGTTTATGTTTCAACTGTCGGACGGTATCAGCAACAAATGTAGCGACATGTTTGTTAACAAATGAAATGGCGAATCCCTTGCCGATCAAAGCGGTAAACGGGCGGCCATGAATGTGAACTTTAACAACCGGGCGGGGGTTGGTACCCTGTATCGCAGCAGCCGAGGGAGACGTGTAAAGGTACGGTTTCGCTGGAGCCATCGGCGGCTGCCGTTGACGGTTGCTGTCAACGGCGGACCACTGCACCTTCTTATTTATGTTGGACGTGGTTTCCTTGACGCCGTTGACGGTTAGCAAGGAAACCATGCTAGGTTGGGGTTTAACGATGGCCGCCGACCGCTTCAGCGAAGCCGTATAAGTGTAATTTCGGACGGAGCGGTTGGGTGCATTATTTTGGGTCTGATACCCACACTCTCGGGACGTTACTCTTCGTCTACCACAGCGACAACAAAAGAAAAAAGAAAAGTTTGCCCACACCTCTAACAAACTAGACCCTCGTCGGATTCTGCAGATTGACTGATTGCCTGCGGTCTGAAATATGTATTAACATGGGCGGAAGACGATACATTTGTAGAAGTATTGGGGGTGGGCTGTTCGCAGGACTGCGAAGACACCCACTGCCTTCGGTTTTGAGTGGAAACTCGTTCGGTAAATCTAACGGCCCTATCAGTACGGCGAATTATTGATATTCAGACCGGTAACCAGTTTTGGTATGGTTTCGTGAAAAATCGGTACGGTTGGCGGATTCGGTACGGTTCGGTTGTTTACCACCACTAAACGGAACAACGAACCGGGACGGTAGATTCTAACGGGCTTCTCAGTACATATCTGCATAGTTTTTAACGGCTTGAGTAAACTCAATTACGGAACGGTAATCGGTACAGCGGATATATAAACGGTATTCGAGCAGCAAGTTATGGTGTAACCAATAAAGTTCCTGTTCAAGGGACATACGGCCGTGCCGACGGTTTGAAGTTTGTAGTTTAGCGATATAATGGACAGCGGGTTGTCCACGGCGGTTAAATTGTGTCGAATCGGTATTCCCCCCAAAGCTAACATTCCAGCCTCGGGTTATAATTTTGAATAGTGCGAAGGAAGGCTGAATTTGGTGCGGAGTCCCAACAGGAAGAGATTTCATGATGGCATAGTCTGACTGGCGTAACGGTTGGGGTTGAGAAAATCCCTGAGCGGCGGAAGCGTAAGAAACAGCCGGCGGACAAAACGGGTGACTCTAATCGGCGGTTGGATGACGAGAACGGTGGCGGAAGGAGTGCATATGCTATTCTATGGGTTTCTTATTAAAAATTTCCTAATTAAACTATTCGTCACAAAGTATTCATATTCAAGGAAATTTTCCAAGATGCACTATAATCGGCAACTACGTAACAAGGAGAACGTACGCACCGCACTAACCGTCACAAATATGAATTAACAAGTTAAAAAGTAATCGTAAACGATTTACATAAAGCGCATTTCCACTTGCATTCATTTCCCATTTGTAAGATGCAACTTCTGTTAAAATCGTAAAAATCCGGCCACAAATATGAAAGATAGCGTTGCACATGGGCAATCCATTTTTGACGTGCTACTTCAATTTCAGTTTATGAGAAGAATTTCATTTCAATGCTTTTCTAAATAAGAAAGTTGGAACTGCGCATGCGCAAACCTAAATTTTAAAACTAATTTACTATAACTAACTAATAAACTAAGATTTTCCTTTGTTCCAAGCGCCTAAGTATCAAATTTCACTTAAATAGTTCCATAGATAAAAAAGTTGGCACGGCGCATGCGCAAAATAAAATTTTGAAACTGGCGCTAGATTTTCCTTTATTCCAAGTGCCTATGTATCACATTTCATTTAAATTCTTCCATAAATAAAAAAGTTGGCACTGCGCATGCGCAAAACCAAATTTTGAAATTGGCGTTTGATTTTCCTTTATCCCAAGTGCCTATGGATAAATTTCGTTTAAATTCTTCCATAAATAAAAAAGTTGGCACTGCGCATGCGCAAAACCAAATTTTGAAATTGGCGTTTGATTTTCCCTTATCCCAAGTGCCTATGTATCAAATTTCGTTTAAATTCTTCCATAAATAAAAAAGTTGGCACTGCGCATGCGCAAAACCAAATTTGGAAATTGGCGTTTGATTTTCCTTTATTCGAAGTGCTTATGTATCAAATTTCGTTTAAATTCTTCCATAAATAAAAAAGTTGGCACTGCGCATGCGCAAAACCAAATTTTGAAATTGGCGTTTGATTTTCCTTTATCCAAGTGCCTATGTATCAAATTTCGTTTAAATTCTTCCATAAATAAAAAAGTTGGCACTGCGCATGCGCAAAACCAAATTTTGAAATGGCGTTTGATTTTCCTTTATCCCAAGTGCCTATGTATCAAATTTCGTTTAAATTCTTCCATAAATAAAAAAGTTGGCACTGCGCATGCGCAAAACCAAATTTTGAAACTAATTTACTATAACTAACTAATAAACTAAGATTTTCCTTTGTTCCAAGCGCCTAAGTATCAAATTTCACTTAAATAGTTCCATAGATAAAAAAGTTGGCACTGCGCATGCGCAAATAAAATTTTGAAACTGGCGCTAGATTTTCCTTTATTCCAAGTGCCTATGTATCACATTTCATTTAAATTCTTCCATAAATAAAAAAGTTGGCACTGCCCATGCGCAAATGGTCGAGATGCGAAAAGGGCACTGTGAATTTGGAATCGATTCGATCCAACTTTTGGCATTGCGTATTATATGGCTAAATCTATGCCCATATTGAATTTCATGCAATTCAGTTCATAACTAACGGAGATGTAAAAGTGATCGAACATTTCTAAACAAAGTTATCTTTCACACGGACAGATAGATGGACAGACAGACAAAGGAACAGACGGACAGACCAACAGGCAGACGACAGATAGCAATGCAACATTATAAACGATCTCTAGGATCGTTAATAAACGGCAAAAGTGTAAAATTATGGAACATGTAAAAAACGGTTTTTTGTTTTTTTTACAATAACTTTTTTTGTAAGCGGTACAGAAAAAATTCCTTCCTTGGTACAAGACTCGACACCATAACGAACCAAATAGCGAAAAAAGTAGAACAATAGCTCTTAAGATAAAAAACTAGTAGCGTCGCAAAGTTAGCGGACGGACGGACGGACGGACAAAGTGGCCACAATAGCGCATTTTTTTTTTATTTTTGTGGAAATGCGCTAAAAATTGATCGTTTGTCATCTGCAACGTACACAACCACAACGAAGTGCTGATTACGAATGGTAATAATTGTAGATAGTTTCCGCTTAATGTGACGAACATGCTTCCGAACTTTTTTTGGGAAAAGCATGTGATTTTTCACCATCTACGTTTTTTGTTTCCGCGTTTTCTATTAAAACAATAGCTACGCGTATTTTATTATCAATTATTATTAATCAAAATAATGTTAATTTCATTTATAAAATTTAATTAAGCGAACAAAGTTCAAATCACCTAATGTATATATAATAAATGAATAATTCGAAGCGGGAATAATGGACCAGGATCTCACTTATTTGATAACGATTGTACAATGCGAAGGTGATCAATCGGCGACGAGCTCTGACTTAGCCAGCACCCGATAATTAGTATCCGAAATGATTGTGAAGCCTTTTAAAACATACAAAAGGACCCAGTTCCTTGCAGCATATACAGGTGAGTGACTGGAATTAAAAACATCTGCCTCTCATTATTAATAATTGATTACCATAATAAGTAGATTAAGATGTCTAGATATTATTTGCTTGATTGTCGAAAGGACTGTGGTAAACAGATTGTAAGTGATCAACTTTAGAAAGTAGTCCTTATCCAAACCCAAAAACTTGCAAAAAGGTTAGTAAATTATTTCAACCTAGCAACATTTTATAGCCATTTAACTAGTATCCATAAAGCAAAAATGACGTTTTAAAATTACTCTAACAAAAGGTTGTTAAATTAGCTCAATTAAATACCTATAAATTTCGCAGTTCTCCTATGCTCGAGTTATTGTCCTCCTTCGAGATATACATTAACACTCTATTGGGTCGCAACTGAATAAATGAAATCTTTTACAGCTACCATTAGTGCAATATCAGATGGAATGCAGTACTCCTGGGCTGCGCCAATAATCCCGATACTACAGTCCGCTGACTCGAAGATTAAAATTACGGAAACGGACGTCATGTGGCTGCAAAATATGTACTCCGTAGGAGGAGGCATTGGACTAATAACCGCCATTTTCACCGTTAAACGGTTTGGATGTAAAATATCCATTCTCATGAGTGCTGTGCTAAGTCTACTTGCGTGGATGATGATTGCATTAATGGTCTCGGTAGAGTGCCTCTACGTGGCCCGATTTTTCTGTGGAGTGGCAAGTGAAATGGTTTACGTTTCGGCTCCGATGTATGTCGGCGAGATATCCGACAAAGAAGTACGGGGATTTCTAAGCTCTTTGTTGCCAATGAATTTAATTTTTGGTATTATAGTAATGTTTTGCATAGGCCCTTTTGTCCCAATTTATATTTCGTCGGCAGTCGGAAGTATACCTATCATAATACAATTGATTTGTTTTAGTTTCATGCCTGACTCACCTTACTATTCGTTGAGTAAGAACAAGGTCGAGACAGCCACGAAAAATTTACAAAAGTTACGACAAACCGACGATGTTGATGCAGAATTAGAACAAATTTCTTCGAACATAGCAAAAGAACAGGCCGATGGAGGACGTGTCATCGATCTGTTTCTACTGAAAGGTTGCAGGAAGGCACTACTGATCTTGGCAGTTATCAATTGCTCTGTACATTTTTGTGGCTTCACCGCAGTCGTTATGAATATTCATTCCATTCTCGAGAGTGCTGGCTCGCCAGTAGCACCAAGCGCTGCAGCAATAATTTTTTCTTCCTTAATGTTGGCATCAATCATATTTACGTCGCCGTTGATCGACAGAGCAGGACGAAAGATGATGCTAATTTTATCATCCGTAATCACGACTTTGTTGCTGTTCGTTTTTGCATCTTATTTTACCATCCAACTGTACATTCCTGCCGTGACCGAATACAATTGGATTCCACTAATTTCCATGATGATTTACGGTATGGCTTATAGGTGCGGATTTGGTACTGTTTCAGTGGTTCTTACTGCCGAACTATTTCCAAGTAACGTCAAAGTGATTGGCATTACGATTTCTGATGCACTTTACGTGATATTCTCGTTTCTTTCGATCTATATTTATCAAACGTTTAGAGTGAGCTACGGGATCCATGTCCCCTTCTTTATTTTTGGTTTTTGGTGCATATTCAGCATCGCATTCATTTTGTTCTATCTACCCGAAACCAAAGGGAAGTCTTTGGAGGAGATTCAGAAGATTCTTAAAGGAAACGTACCTAATACCAAAAGCGCCGAAATTCATCTAGAAGCCCTTAAAGGAAAAGAAACAACAAACCATTGATTGTATACTAAATTATTGCACTGATTAAACATTATTAAGACTAATGATGTAGTTTTACGAAAACTGCCCTTAGCACGTTGGAATTTTCTGCATGCAGAAACAGAAAGCCTTTAAATATAAGATATAACCTTTGTTCCAAAAACTTTGTTCAAAAAATCCATACTTTGAAAGAAGTCCCTAGCCTAGGATTGTCACTTTTTGACTAGTAGTATATTGTCACAAAATGCAAAATGCAACATTTTCCTAAGGTAAAATGTCGTTGCCTGGAATACATAGGGAAAATATTTTTTTCACTACTAGCGTCTGATGACATGATTATTAACCTTTTCGTACTTCCGAGACTAAAGTGACCACTTCAGTCCATTATGACAAGTACTGAAGTGTCACTTTTTGTCCCGCCGGGATTAAATTTTGACGAAAATCCCGGAAGGATGAAATTACTAACAAGGCAATTTCAGTAGGTTGTTCCACATTTTGTATGCGGCACTACTTCTTAAGCGTATCGTACTGCTGCTCATATAGTTATTTGGATTTCAGTGGTATCAATTCTTTACCTAGTTTGGCTGCTTTTTATGAATATCAAATACACTTTTGTCACCCACCACCAAAATTATGACACTAGCAATGACAGTTTCCAAATTATTTTTGTTACCACAGCATAGGAATTGTCGTACCAACGCAACGTTCCTATGGTAACTTGTTAAGCAGCGATTTTTTGAAAGAACGCGTTCTCTAACTCCATACATATTAAGTGTTTCAGTTTCGGAAGTACGAAAAATATCGTATATACCTTGCGACTGAAGTAGTGTTCTTAATCCCTCAGGTAAACTATGGCCCTCCCTTCGGTCGGGCCATAAACTTTACCTTGGGGATTGAAAGTACTACTTCAGTCCAGCGGTATATAATATACTATTAATGAATGAAATAAGCTCAGGACAGGCGGGACAAATTCCCACAGTACTACCCTCAAATGGTGTATCGAGAACTTTTTCAGGGATTTGAACTTCTCGTCTAATTTTGGAAATTCAAATAAACATTTCAAAGCTCAAACTTAACTTTAAAAGGTCATGCTAGGGTCAATTTAGAAAGTTAATTATTTCTCCGATGTAGATCGTTAGTTTTTAAACTATCTCGTGCGAGAAGCATTCACTTGTTTATGAATTTGTTGTTCATGAGTCGAATATAAGAACGTAAACGGGGGAGCACTTCAGTAATACACAGATCTAAGTGGTCTTAAGGTCTTTAAGAGCATCCAAAGAACTTAAAAACGTTCTGAAGAGATTTTCAAAGCCTTTAAAGTCTCTTACAGCTACTGAATTTTAAACGATTTATAAAAGCTCTGAGAAACTCTCTACTAGAAATTGTAACAGTACCCGAGTCGAGTCTAGTCACCTTTGGAATTTTTGCTTTTGCTATCGACGTTTATTCTAGGTATATACCTGCATTGTAGAATCGACCCAAGGTCTCTTAAAGACTTACAAAGGATTTTGTAGACTTTGAGACATTGGCGGCCCTTATAGATACTTAAAAGCTCTTAAAAGGCTCACGAAAAGCTCTCTGTCTCTCTCTTTAGACTATAGGTGACCCTTAACATGCTCCTAGAGACGAAGGTTCATATAAACGATCTATAAGGGTCTTAGAGGTTCCTCGAGATCGGTATTTCGAGCTCTGTTAAATTACAAGACCGGACACGATTAAAAGCTCTGAATACTTTTTAAGAGGCTTTCGAAAATCTGTAGAGGATCTTAGGATTCTCTATTTAAAGCCTCGGACCTGAACCTCTCTTAAATGCTTTTAAAGAGAGGAGAGAATTTCAAAGCCCCTAAAGGCTGTAGCAGTTGGTCGCTTGGCCATTTTCATATATTTGGCTTTGAATTTGTATTTTTTCAACATGGAGAACTTTACACATATATCGCTTCATAGCGAACGTGAATAAAAGTATGTCTGCAAATAAAAGCGATCACAACGCGGACCTTTTTCCATAAAAGTGTGCGTTTTGAGATAGAGAGATAGCGAAGAGAGACCGGACCCCTTTTTGGTGCGCTAAAATTCTGCGTTTTAGCTTGAAGAGCGATCGCGTAAAAATACTGGTACATGAAAATTATGACGAGGAGGTTAGACTTTCATAGAGTTAGCACGTACTATTTTTGTGTGAGAATTTTAACTTCGCTTCTAATTTCGGGAGCGGTTACGTATCATATTAGGTGGACTAAAACTGTAATTTGAAAAATTTATCAAGTAGCGGTAAAGGGTTACCACTTTTACTTTGAGTGAAAAATTCTAAACAGGCAGGTGTCTGCGATTTTTTCAATCACGTCGTTAAGAAGCATTCATTAAAATCATATTCGTAATTTTATATTAAAACGGAAGTTAGCTTCATTCATAGCAATGCCGTTTATTTTTGAATGATAACAATCGACGCGAATAGACAATTCTGAATCTTAGAAATGCTTTTAAAAATAAACTGATTTTAAAACCCATTGTGAATTTAAAGACAATTAATCGATACATTTTACCTGCATCAAAACCTAGTAATAAATTGGGCAAGAATCATATGAACACAGCGGAGCATTAACTTATTATTCCTATACATAATTACGAATTTCAATGATACTTTTATGGAATTGAAGTCGGTTGGTTTGGATTCACGATTCATAATATGAAAGTTTCTTCCACCAAACCTTGCAATCATCACGAAGATAAAGTTACTAGGATGGTGAAAAAGGTCTAACTGTACCATAGAAGCGATCTGTTTTCATATTTCTAATAAGAGACAAGAGGAGAGAATAAGAGGCATTTTCCAAGAAGAGCTGAGGTCAATTTGTTACCAGAAGAGAATACTACCCACGTGAATAACTGCAACTTGTTTTGTATAAAATGGTGGTCGGCTATTTTTAGGAATTTTCGTAAGTAACTTTTGTTGAAGTAGTTTTAATATTCCTAAAAGAATGGACCTATGAGAACCATTTGCCCGAACAGATTTGTATTACATTTATGAATAGAGATCGAGCCCAAACAAAGAGTTTTAGTTATTTTGTTTCATTGCTTGAAAAATTGTGGTAAAGAAAATTGATCGCCTCTGATTTTATTAATATATTTTAATTAAATTAAATCATATGCGTAATTATTCGAGTTCAATCAAACCAGAGCATTAGATTTTGGTAGATCAGGTTTTCAGACGAAATAAAGACTCAAACTGCCGCAAGGTAAGGGGAATAAAAATATTTTACTTACTGAGCTAGCCGTGGGTAAATTAAAAATTAATTGTCATATTAAATTTTTTGCCAGTGCCGTAGAGGTCTAATTTTATTTTATGCAACTGGGGTCTTCGGCCCTTGTAACTTAACCCGTTACAAGGCATCTGCTTCAGAAAGTCATTTAAAAGCTCATAAATTGTCTCAAGGGCTCTTCGCAACAAATCACGTGAACACTAAATGGTGTTGAGGACTCATGAAGGTTCTTGACGAGTTTCAAAGACTCATTAAGGAATAAAAGTCAATTAAAAACTTCTAAAATGCTGTTGGGGTTTAATTAACTAAGACCTTCGAGTGACGTTAAAAGCTGCTGTGAAGTGTCAAGAAGTTTTCAAAAGATCCATGTAAGCTTTTGAATGTTCTTAAATTCGCTGTGGAGTGTAGAATACTGTAAACTAGTTTAGGAAACTTTAAAAACATCCTTAGAAACAAAAACGGGCGTACAATGCGAATGTGCTGTTGTCATACTCATTGCTCAATTTAGATTTTCAGCGTCCGAAGACGGACTGGTTGTTGATTTAAGACTTTCCTGGGTTGCTGAAGAATGCACATAAGTAGCTAATTTTTGTTTAAAATTATGGGAATGGCAAGTGACACCCTGTATTTAACATTATTCAAAGTGATCCGCAAATCTGGTCGATTTTTGTTACAAATAACCACATAGTTGATCAGTTTTACTTAATTTTAGTTGAGGTTGTACTTTTGGTTTAAATATTGTTCAATAATTTAGTAGGTTTTTATTGATTTTTTATAACTTAAGACGTAGAAGGTAAGAAACATGTGGGTAAAGGAAGTATTGCGTCTATACAAAAATTCTTTAACAGATGTTTGATAAGGGGACTTTATCAAAGTAAAATTTAATTGATTTAGATAAACGGTGTAAAGTTTGTAGATAAGGAAATACATGATAAACAAGTGCTCGCATTTTGTCGGCCCTTATCCAGGAACCAGTGTTGGGGATTTAAACAAAAGAAGAAGGTTTGTGAACACGGTGCCTATATGTTAAAATAATTCTGTGAAAAGTGTTGCGTTCGTCGTTTGTCGCATCTGTACAGGCGGTTTCAAACAAAAATTATTACAGCAAAGTAGTGAGTACATACTTTTTCTATATATGATCGTTTCTAACGGGGTGAAATGTTTCAATAAGGCCCTATTAGCCTTCAGATTAGTGTTTCATTGTATTGCTATAATGTGTTGGTGATAATGAAGATTTATTTTGTATGCGATCTTAGAAAATTATGTGTTGATTTGAAAAATAAAAGTAAAGAAAATCCAGATAAATTTTGTTTTGTGTTGTTCCATTTGAATCACAGATTTCCCGAACTTCAAAATTTGGATAAGTCGGTGTTGAGATTTTTCACCGTTTCGGAACCCAGCTGAACCCCGAGATTTGATCTTCCTTTAGTTATTAAAAATAATGTTTGTAGGAAGATGTGGGTTTGTTACAAGGTTTAATTTGTGTAATTTTGAGCCAGATAGATAAATGTGAGTGAATTTTCTGCAGCCCTTCGTTGGGCACAGGGTTTATTTTTTATGCGCCCGGAAAAAAGGGAGTCGGGTCTGGTTCTCTCCCCTCCTGCCGAGTTTGGGTGCACATTTTAAGTCAGTAAACTAAAATAAAATAAAATTATGAATACTATCAATAGATATTTATTGAGTTGTTTAACATTATAGAAATAGTGACTAAGATACGTACATATACATATTTATAGAAACTAACAAAATCTTTTTTCATTGACAAATTTTACTTCCCTTTCCTTGGGGTTTGGTCAATTACCAGGAAAAGTTTA